CCATTAACTAGTTTGATTCAACAATGAAAACAAAAATCGCCTTTTTTCTCCTTTCATTATGGCTTAAAGCTTTCAATTGCACAAACAAAATAAATTCTATGACAGAAAGTATGCAAGTGTGTATCTATTATTCTACCTGCCATGAATCTTTAGGAAAAAAACACTTTGCCTCTTTTTCACCCAGTTGTCACGCGCATCCATGTGAAGAGGCTACTAACCAGGCTTTGTATGAGCAAGAAAGCTTTTTTAATCACGTAGGTGTAGGCAGGCTGAGTGTGAAAAAGGGGTCAGCAAAGGGAGATGGGGTGGGGCAGTTTTATAGGATTTGGGTAAGTAGTGCAAAATTACAGTCAAAGGGGGTTTTTCTCACGTAGGCAGGGGCGGGGGTTACAAGGTGCTGGGTGGGGAGCTTCTGATATTCATTGTCCAAGGAAAGAATTTCACAAGGTCAATTGATCAGTTAGGATGGGGCAGGAACAAATCACCGTGGTGGAATGTCATCAGTTAAGGCAGGAACTGACCATTTTCACTTATTTTGTGGTTCTTCAGGTGCCTCAGGCCATCTCGATGTATACGTGCAGGCTTGGACTCAGAGGCCTGACACTTGTTACATCCTAAACTGAAAACTTTCAGATTCTTCAGATGCCCACGGTCATGCTGACTGCTGCCATCTCAAGAGAGGACATCAACAGCCACACCTCTCTGATACTTCATGATTCCCCTGCCCTGTCTGTTCCAGGCATTAGGATTCTGAGTGGAAGAATTACTAGGTATTCACTCTCACAGCCCCCAGATAGTCACTAGTATCTCTTCTCAGGAAATTGCTCAAGCTGAGTTTGAGGTCATAGTGTAGCAGGACGAGCTGCAGACAAAACCTCTCAGACACCCAGTTGTAGAAGGAAGGGCTTTATTCAGCTGGGAGCACGGGCAAGCTACTGCCTGAAAATCCGAGCTCCCCGAGTGCACAGTTTCTGTCCCTTTTAAGGGCTCACAACACTAAAGATTTCATATGAAAGGCTTGTGATTGATTAAGCAATCTAGGGATACGCGACAGGGATTTCATGCACTGGTAGTCAGAGAGAAACAGAACAAGGCAGGGAGTTTCACAATGTTCTTCTATACAATGTCAGGAACATCTGTTTCTAAGTCATGAGTTCATTTTTAACTACTGGGTTTAGGCCAGGCAGACCCAGGCCTGGTTCCGGGGCTGGCGCTGGGCTGCCTGTCTTTGGTTTTACTTCATTGTTTTTTCTTAAAACAGGTACTGAGTATAAAACAATATAAAACAATATGAGAGGGTTTCTCTCTGTCCTCAATCGTACCATCAGGTACATATGCTTCCTTGGCCCTGTATAAACTGATCTAGAAGATTTCTCTGTCCTTTGGGAAAACCCAAACTTGCTGCTCTATCTTCCCTGAAGTTGGGCATTTCTGGGTAAGATTTTCTTGCCTCGGTCTCCCCTCCCCTCTGCCTCTTGCTGAGATGGGGGCACTTCTACACATCGCAGAGCATTGCACATGGGTTAGGGATCCATTAGCCCACCTGGAGTCCAATTAGGACCTACAGAGTCTTCATCACAAACCAAGATGCTCCTCGGACAGGAGTGGAGGAACCTCACCACAGAGGTCCAGAGTTTCCTATTTCAAACATCCATCAACTGAAAAATGGATAAACAAAATGTGGTACATCCAAACAATGGAATATTATTCAGCCCTAAAAAGGAATGAAGCACTGACACTGGTACAACATGATTGTTCCTTGAAACCATTATGCTAAATGAATAAAGCCAGTCACAAGCATCAAATATTTACATGTGTATTTGAAGCAGCCTCGTTGTCTGGGGCAAGTACAAAGATTCTTTGTCTCATGGCCAAGGAGATTGAGGTCGTGGACACACACACAGACACACACACACACACACACACACAGAGGGAGTTTGGAGCAGGTGTTTAATAGACAAAAGGGAAGAACAGAGAGGGGTCCCAAGTGGGTTGCCAAGTTGTCAGCGTTTTTATAAATGGGCTAGTGAGGAGGGGGCTCGTGAGGAGGGGATGTCTTATCCTCCTAGGGCCAGACGATTTGATTGAGACCAGGTGTGCTATCTGTGTGGCGCAGAGTTTTTTGTCAGTTCTCATTCCATTCCCTGCCCATATAGGCAGAATCTCAGTCTGTGTAACTTTGTTATGCTTATCTTGGAGGGAGAGTTTCTGTGTCTGTTCCCAGATATCTTCTTGCAGCTGCAGGCATTCCCTCCCCCCACCAAGTCTGCTTTTAGCTTCCCTATCTTAGTGTGCCTAAAGGCAAAGGAATGTGCTTATTAAAGTCTGCTGTTTTACTGGGGCCCATTGTGTAAGTGTGAAGTTTGGTGATTACCCAGGAGACTTTCCCCTTCTTTCTGTGCCCAAGCTGCTGATCTGTGATTTACAGCCTGAACTTTCATCTGCTTGTTGTTAGAAGAGAAGCGACTTCTTTGAACTGCCTGAGGTGAGAAAGGGGGCTATTTTTGAGCTGCTTTTGTGAAAAGGAAAGATTTCTGCCAGGGACTCACTTTACCCTGTGTACCTAAATAATTTCTTTCTGCCTCCTATAACATATTCATTTGTATGAAATGTCGAGAATAGAGACATCTCTTGAGACAGAAATTAGTTTAGTGGTTATTTAGGGAGTGGAGGAGTGGGACAAAGAACTTGTGTTGGGGGTGGAAGGGTACTGCATGGCTAATGGGCACAGAGTTTTTTCACGATGCGATGAAACTAATTTCAAATTGACTATAGTGATGGTCACACATATCTGGGAACATACTAAAAATCACTTAATTGTATGCTTTAAATGGGTAAACTGCATGGCATGTGAATTATATCTCAATAAAGCTGTTTAAAAATATAACCTGGGATAATTTTACCAGAAAATACAACCTGGGATAATTCTAGCAGACTTCTCTCATCTTCATTTCCACTAACTTATTTTGGGTCATTGTGTTCACTGGCCTGCTTCTTGTCAATAATAATTTTTGAGCTATCTGTTCAGGTGTACCAATACCTGGCAGATCCAAGTTTTAGTCCTCATGTGTTTTATTTATTTTGTTTTTTATTTTTTGAGATGGGGTTTTGCTCTTGTTGCCCAGGCTGGAGCACAATGGCACGGTCTTGGCTCACTGCAACCTCTACCTCTGGGGTTCAAGCAATTCTCCTGCCTCAGCCTTCCAAGTAGCTGGGATTATAAGTGCCCACCACCACACCAGGGTAATTTTGTATTTTTAGTAGAGACAGAGTTTCACCATGTTGGCCAGGCTGGTCTCGAACTCCTGACCTCAGGTGATCCACCCATCTTGGCCTCCCAAAGTGCTGGGATTACAGGCATGAGCCACCACATCCGGCCCTGATCAGTTTTATTTTTGCACACAATTTTGCACACAATTCTTGCACACATATTTGGACACAATTCATCCCTGAAATAGGGGGTACGGGAGTAAAAGGCTTGAATGTGATAGATGAGTTAGGTTTTGGACATGTGCCATTTAAGATATTTGTCAAAAAGCTAAGGGAGGCAGTTGCATAGTGTTCCACATTGGTCTCAATTTTTCTCTCTCCCCTTGCCTTGCTGCCCTTCCTGTCTCCAGAGTTTCTTACTCAGAGCTTAGAGTCACTGTTAACAAAACAGTCAGATTGCATTGCAAAAGTTTTCTTTTCCCTTAGAACACTATATTATAATCTTGTGTAGTAAGCAAGGTACACAGTTGAAGTAAAGTGCTGATTGTCTTTTCAAGATAAAGTTCCATTTTCTTGAATTCTCTTTATTTGCAAAAATAACACTAAATATTAAAGCTTTCCTTTCTCTTTCCTCCACTGATTGTAATATAGTTTTATGAGAAAAATACACAGTTGAAGAAAAGTGCTTTTTGATGGTCTTAGTAGGATAAACTCCATTTTCTTTTTTGCAAATATATTTCAAATAATTTTGTGTATTTATAGGGTACAGTGTGATGTTTTGATCTATGTATACATTATAGAATGCTTCCATCAAGCCAGTTACCATATCCATCACCTCATCAATTTATCATTTCTTTGTGGCGAGAACATTGAACATAAATTTTAGCAATTTTGAAATATGCTTATTATATTAACTGTGGTCACCATGTAGTGCAAGAGATCATTAAAACTTATTCTTTCAGTCTGACTCATACTTTGTATCTTTAGATCAACATTTTCCCTTTCCCCATCCCTCATCGCACCTTCCCTAGCCTCTGGTAATCACCTTTCTATAAGATAGACTTTATTAGATTTCACATACAAATGAGATCATACAGTATTTATCTTTCTGTGCCTGGCATATTTCCCTTAGCATAACGTTCTCTGGTTCCATCCCTGTTGTTGTAAATGAATTTCCTTTGTTAAGGCTGTGTACTATTCCATTGTGTATAGTACCACATTTTCTTTATTCACTCATTCCTCATCGACACTTAGGTTGATTCCATGTCTTGGTATTATGAATAATGGTGAAATTGTACCAGCATTAAAAAAGTTCAATTTTCTTGATTTTTCGGTATTTGCAAAGATATTTAAGTCTGCAGTAGCATGTAGAAAATTGCTAGTAATAATAGCTAATAATAATAGCTGTTATTTCTCTTTTCCTCTTTCTCTTCCACCTTAGTAAATAAAACCTGCCATAAAACCGTGATATGGAGAAACAAAATTACCAAGAACCTCACTAAAAAGGAAAATCTGGCTTATTTACCCCAATGTAACTACTGAGGGCTTTAAACAACTTAAACTTCTCTGCAACAAATTTTGCGCAACCTACACTTCCATCTGGCATTTCCTCTCCCTGGCCTGCGGAAGTGGCCCAGCCCCCAGAGCTTCTCAGGCTTCACGCCCAGGGTCCTGGGGCAGCACAGGGTCCTCCCTGGCCCAGGCGCCCGGTGGCCAAGAGCCTGCCCGCGAGCTCAGCGCTGCTCAACGGTCTCTGTTCTTGGCTGTGCCTCCTGCGCTCTGGTTGAGCCATGTTCTTTCTCCTTGCCCTTCTCACTGAGCTTGGAAGGCTGCAAGCCCACGTAGGTAAGTCCCCGGGAGCCTGCCCTTTCTTCTTCGGCTTTAGAGCGGGCCTGGGCTCTTCCTGGGAGCAGTTTCTTGTTATTCTGGGACCCTGCCCCGCTCCCCTTTGGGATCTCAAGCAGGTGCTTCCGGTGTGTCAGGGACACCTTTCTACGCCAGGCCAGGGGAAGCAAGGTCCTTAGCGGAGGAGCTGTTAGCGCTCTGCATCAGCGCCCATGGTCTCAGTGGCCCGCACGCAGCGCGCCTTCCGGGATCTTCCCACTCTGTGAAGGATGGAGGTGGTGGACTACTAACTGCCTTCAGCGAATGCCTCAGAGTCCTGAGGAAGCAAGCCTCGCAGCGATTCTAAAAGGGAACCAGAGGGGCCTGTAGAACAGCAATGTCTACTTTTTTTTTTTTCTTTTTTTGTGCCTTAGCCATTTTCAATGTGCTGTTAATTATGTAGTGAAATTTGTGGACTAGAAAGAGTGTGCGCACATGTAAAAACGTTTACTTAAAATTTTAGGCGCCACCATGCAGTCAGGGATAAGAACCCATGCTTGACTGAGACGATTGTGGATGCAAAACAAAGACGAAAACAAGCACATTTCCTTACTGCAGGTTCTGAAGGAATATTTCTGCATGTCACAGTTCCACTGAAGATTTTGTCAAATGACAGTGAAGTTTCAGAGAGGAAGGTAAATGATGAGGAATATTTATTCTATATTTAAAGTTTTATGGCAATTTTTATTTACCCTTATATTAAGTCAGATCATACGCAATTGTATTCATTGCCAAATCATAATATTTTGCCTGTGCTATTTGTCTCCTGCCATGTTTTGATCCTCTTCTCCCCCATTTCTGCTGCTTATTTCCCTGTCTTTTCTCTTCATCTCTTCCTAACACACTACTTGTTCACAATTTCCAAGAAATGTTCAGCAATCAAACTGGTAGGAAAAAGAAACCAATATAAAATATGCATGACCATGGTTTAGCCAACAAATTAACAAATTTTTTATTGTCCACTAAATGATGTAGAAATTGGTCATAAGCAAAATTTAGACATGGAAAATTTGATCCACAGGCATCAGTCTTAATAGCATGTAACCTACAAAGACTTTGTAAAAAGCGAAGAAAAACTAAGAATGTCACATTTGCCCTGTTATGATGAAAAATATTACAATAAGTAAAAATTAACTGGAAAAAGAAGTTGGAAAATTACTAACCTGCTAGATTAAAAAGTGATTAAACTGAAGGCCTTCAGTCTTGTATATTTGCCTCATTAAAATGCCTGAAATCGACATAGTTAAAATGTTCTATTTTACAAACTGGAAGTTACAATATAAGGGTTTATATTTCTATGCAGTCAAAAGATGCACAATATATGTCAACTCTGAAAATGTTTCAGGTTGAAAGAGTGATTTTAAAATTATGAGTAAGGAAAAGATTAATCCATTAATTCTATTTTGGCACACAATATTGGGACTTACCATGGCTATGTTCTACTAGTGAACAATTATAATAAATAAAATATATGTCAAATTGTGTTTAGGAATCACAGTAAAATGAATACTTTCCTTTAGAGAAGTTGGAAAGGATTTTCATTTATAAATCTTATTTATCACATTATCCTCCTGAAGTGGAATTATTTATTATATATATTCATTTTAAAAGACAGAGGATTAAAAAATATTAATGGCATCAAATCTGTGTCAGCATGTAGAGTCTAATCTTTAATTTGTAACTCCAATTCCACTACAGTAAGCTGCTTTCTGTTGAAAAGTTATTTGCATAAGTTATTTTCTGCCAACACAATGGCTCATGACTGTAATCCCATCCCAACCCTTTGAGATCCCAAGGTGGGAGGATCGCTTGAGCCCGGGAGTTTGAGGCCAGCTTGGGCAAGTTGGTGAGACCCTATCTCTACAAAAATAACTTAACTGGGTGTGGTAGTGTGTGCCAGTAGTCCGAGGTGTTCTGGAGGCTGAGGCAGGAGTATCTCTTGAGCCCAGGGTTTGGAGGCTGCAATCAGCTATGATTGTGTCACTGTACTCCAGCCTGGATGACAGAGCGAGACTTCATCTCTTAAAAACAAAAAACAAACAAAAAGCCCCAACTATCTATCTATCTGTCTATCTATTTATCTGTCTATCTATCTTTCTGGGTTTTTTTTTTCCCCTGATTTACTACTGTTGCACGTTGTCATTGTATAATCACTGTAAACTTCAAATTTCTTACTACTTGTCAAGAAGCATATAGCAACTACGCAGGACTTGATGAAATAGTTTTACTATGAGAGACATGCAGTATTCAGTCCTTGTCTACACTTTTGGTATTATTTATATGGAATACTTGAAGTTATATTTTATTGTATATGGTATTCTCTTCATGTTTTAAAAACTTTATTGAGTTATAATTGATATAAAAATTACACCTATCTAGTGTAAACATTTTGATGAGTTTGAATATATGCATACATCCATGATATCATGACTACAATTGATGTACTAAACATATCCATCACTTCCAAAAATGTCCTTACATACTTTAATTTTGTATTTTGTGCTAAGAATGCTGAAGATGAGAATGATCCTCTTAACATATTTTCAAGTGCACAATGATGTATCGTTAACTATGGGTACTATGTTATACAGCATATCTCTAGAACGTATTCATCTTTCATTGCTGGAACTTTGTATTCATTGAGCAACAATTCCCCATTTCTCTCTTTCCCCAGACCTGTGGCAACCACTATTCTGTTCTCTGGTTTTATAATTTTGGCTATTTTATTTATTTATTTGAGGTGGAGTTTCTCTCTGTTGCCCAGGCTGGAGTGCAATGGTGTGATCTTGGCTCACTGCAACCTCCACCTCCCAGGCTCAAGCAGTTCTTGTGCTTCAGCCTCCTGAGTAGCTGGGATTACAGGTGCATGCCACCACACCTGGATACTTTTGTATTTTTTTTAGTAGAGATGGGGTTTCACCATGTTGGCCAAACTGGTCTTGAACTCCTGAACTCAAGTGTTCTGCCAGACTCAGCCTCCCCAAGTGCCGGCATTACAGGCGTTAGCCACCACACCCACCTATTTTAGCTATTTTAGATTCCTCATATAAGTAAGTGGAATCATATAGTGTTTGTCATTCTGTGACCGTCTTATTTAACATAGCATAATGTCCTGTGGGTTCATTCATGTCTCAAATAGGATTTCCTTCTTTTTTAAAGCTAAATAGTGTTCCAGTATGTTTATATGCTACATTTTCTTTATGAGTTAATGTCATTGAACTTTTGGGTTGCTTCCAAACCATGAATATTGTGAATAATGTTGGAATTAACATGGGGCTGCTGATATCTCTTCAAGGTCATGGCTTTAATTTTTTTTTGGATATGTATCCAGATGTTGTATTGCTGGATCATATGGTAGTTCTATTTTAATTTTTTGTGGAACCTCCATACTGGTTTTCATAATGGCTGCACCATTCTCCATTCCCACCAATAGTGTACAAGAATTCCAACTTCTCCACATCTTTGTCAGTGCTTGTTATCTTTTGCTTTTGTTTGTGTGTGTGGCTTTGTTTTTTTAAATAAAACCCATTATAATAGCTGTGAGGTGATATCTCATTGTGGTTTTGATCCTGCATTTTTCTGATGATTAATGATATTGAGTACTGTTCCTTATACCTGATGGTCATTTGTATGTTTTCTTTGGACAGAAGTTTATTCAGGTCCTTTGCCCATTGTTTAATCAGGTTATTTGTTTTGTTTTGTTTTTGGCTGTTGAGTTATAGAAGGTCCTTTTGACATTTTGGATATTAATTCTTTGTCATATAGATCTTTTGAAAATATATTCTTCTATTCCATAAAACAATGGCTTAAATTTTAGGATATTACAGGAACTATGAAGAAAGTTTCAAACCTTCTGTTTTATCTAAGTATACATATGGAAGCTGTAGTACCCATTGTTGGTTCAACACAGGGAAACAACTCTCCAGTTGGGGAGAGCTGACCTCAGTTAGGATGTGTTTGTTTCCTGCTATCAATGCCTTCTTGTCAAAGACCATTGTGAACACACCAGCAATTGAACAAATAAGAATTATTACACATTGCAGTGAGGGAGAATGCGCACCGTGGGGAGCCATGGAACATCTCTTTAGGAGGTTGTTAAAGCACTTATAAGACATTGGCATGTTTTGGGAATTTGGGGGAAGTTTTAGGACGTGTGCCTTCGATCTGGTTTAGATATGGTCCGGAAGTAGGCATAATACTATGATTGTGTATCTTAGTAAGTCTTATCTAGGGCACAGGAAGACCAGAAGATTCCTAAATCTGTCATTAGTTAAGAAGCAGCAGCCATTCACATTAGCCCAATAAGGGCATATTCAATCTTTCTTTCTTCTTTTTTTTTTTTTTTTGACTTGGAAGGGCTTACATTTTGTTGGTGTTCACACATGATTATGAAGTAGTGTTGGTTTTGTCTTGATGCATAATTGTCTCACAGTGGTCCTGTGTTACACTGATGTCCTTTTAAAGTGATTATATTCAACAGAAGAATTCCAAGGCTAGCTGATAGTACTAAGCCAACTCTTTAATGTTACTGGCTGCTCTCCCCTTTCTTATTCTTTATGTGATTAATTTATGTTAGGCGCATTATATCTTACTCAGACTATAGCCAGAAGCAAGCATTGGAATCATAAATGTCTGCACAAGACAAATATATATACATTTTGTAGTGAATTAAGTTGTCATGATAAGGTTGAAAAGAACCATCTATGCAGAATATCTATTCCAAATGATTGTTGTTTATAGATGTTAATATAAATAGAAAATATAAGAATATATGTAACTACATATTATGTATAAATTATGTATGATTGTGAATATTATGTATATCAAGATGTATGTATATATTCCTTGACATGCATATTTTACACACACAAACATGTCAATGATTATGTATACACATGAAGAAATATATATAAATATATACACCAACATGTGTGTATGTATGTATATATTTTTATTATTAATATTTTTATTAATAATAAATAATTTTTAATTACAAATTTTGTAACATATGTTTAAAAATTTTACACTTTCATTTTAAGTACTCCTTGAGTCATATTCTATACTTTTTAATTCATTTTTCAGTATTTTAAAATGAATACTATCATTCCTTTTTGGCTCAAATATTTTGGGAAGAGGATATTTTGCCTTTAATTTCCAAAATAAATTTTTTGTAAGTTTTCTTTTTTATATTAAAATAACATTTTACATTGATAAATAACACATATATCTCAATGAATTTTCACAAAGTAGACACACCTCCAAAATTAGCACTCGATTCAGAAATAGAACATAAGGAGCAAGTCACAAACTCTCTCCTGATTCCTTCTAGTTATTTTCCTGCTTATTTTGACTTATAATGTCCTTGCTTATTATTGTTCAAAATTGAAAGTTATAAGCATATCTTGGAGATATTGTAGGTTTGGTTCTGACTTACATTTAGTTCTAGACTAATGTAAGTCACACAAACTTTTTGGTATCCCAGTGCCTACTAAAGTTCTGTTTACACTATACTATAGTTTATTAAGTGTGCAATAGTGCTATGGCTAAAAATAACAATGTATAAACCTTAATTTAAAACACTTTATTACTAAAAAATGATAACTATCATCTCAATTTTCAGTGAGTTGTAATCATT